TTCAGGGCCTGCTATTCCTCACATCTATCTTTTCCTTCACAGCACAAGCATTGCTCAGCCCAGTCTTTCAAAAGCATGAGACAAGTTTAATAAACATGAGATTTGATGTTGAAACTGGAAGTCACAAAGAGATCATATTTTCAAGGGATTTTGCGCAGAAGGGGAGAATAAGTGGAAATCTACTTTTAGGGATGTTATTTTCTTAATTAAAACTGAGATAATGAAATAACCCCTAGTCTCCAACAGTGGTTTAAAGAAAAACATCAAATATCAGGAAAGTCAGAATTAAATAACGACATGCAGAAACATTGCAATTCATAGAATCCACAACAAAGTCCACATTTTTCAAAGTTTGCCATGAAACTCAACCATGACAAAATTTATCTTTCTTAAATACTTTTTGGCCCTTGGATTATTCCTCTCCCTGCATTCAACATGCGCTAGCTACTATGTACGAACCAAGGGGCTTCCAAAATGTGTGACATTTTCTGTTCCAAGTTGCAAAGTTTCGTAGATGTCTGTAAGGTTCTGTCCCTACCAGGGACTGTGGCCAGTTAGGCCTAGCAAGCTCTATTAGGTGGAGCAGCTTGTCTCAAAAATAGACAGAAAGCATGTTCCGTATTAAATTTGATGATTTTGCACTTACAATTTAAGACCCTCTGGGAACTGGTTTTCATAAGTCCTATTGTATTTCAGCCCTCTTCCTTGTCTCTTAAAGCAGCCTAATACCCCACTGTTACATACACAGGCTTTTTGTTTTTTCTATTCAGATGACTTCACTTTTGACCTGTAGCAGGCATGTGCTGAAGATCTAAAAAATGAAGAAGGAACATAACTGTATTTCTGTGTGACTTTGGGGAACTGTTTGGGTTTATTATACAGTTATAGGCGGTCTGTCTGCATCAGCTTGGTTACATGTTTGGATCTGTGTGTTACCCCTTGCTTCTCTGTATGTACTCATTGCTTACCACTGAGGAAACGAGCTATTCTGAAACAGGGCAAGACATTCTTAAACAGGAGAATATGATGCAATTGCCTGTGAGAGAAAGAACACGTCTGCCTGTGGGGAGTAAGAACTGCTCAGAAATTGTCCCTGAGCTTCTGAGTCTTAAGTGGTTGTAACAACAGTGGCAGTGGTATGTCAACAGGTTTGAAGGCATTCATCCAAACTACCTGAAAAATTAAAGTCAACAGCATTGGAAGGTAGCGAGGTTCTTTTAGTTCACCTAACTTATAAGGGACTTGGTGTCTACCTTTTCCCCACTGTAGGATACCTTCTCTCTCATTGGCTCTGATGATCTGTAATTGACAGAAAAATTTCTGGCTATTGCAGACACTAGTGTGAGCCCACCTGTACTCTGTACTGGTGCTCTCCACTTGTCTGGAGCTTTCTCCCATCCCCAGCACCTGCTCTAGCTGTTCAGCATCACAGGTTGTTGTTTCCCTTATACCCACCTCTGAAGAAATAAGAGCTTTGCCTCTCATTCATACCCTTACAGTGAACTCTGCTTTGTCTGCCCACATGGATCAGCCCAGACTGGCCACCACTTTCTTCTTCGTGTTGCATCTCTGCTCCACTGAAGGGGCTGCTATCCCTAGGTGTGTTTACTTATGCAGAGAAAGAGATTAAGTAGCAAAGCTGATCCATGAATTGGACATGCTTTTTAGTACTTGGGGACATAGCACAGTAGCACTGTAGACATACTGAAGCCAGAACTTCCTAGCGTTTTTTTCTGGGAATATTTTCACTGACAATGTTAAATGGGGGACATCTTCATAAAAATGTCACGTCTGATATTGCAGTTCTTCTGTGCTGTCTTCCAGACAACCTGTCACTAGAATTAGGTAACTCAGAGAGAAACATTACCTTTTTTAACTCTAAAATCATGCTTAACTGCTACCACTGGAAAGTCAATGAGTTAACGCGGGAGAATTCCCAGAACAGCCTAGGGTTAGCACAACTGCATAAAGGATGAGTAAGTAAGAATCTGTTAGGAGTAGGCACGTTTTCTCATGCCTATTGAGATACTCCTTTTACCACAGCTAGCATTAGCAAGCTATGAACAGCCTTTCTGTCAATAGTTTGACAATTCTAACCCAAAAATAGCAGACTCAAACAAATAAATAAAATCCTAGGGAAACAAAGAAAGTAACACATTTCAGCACACTCTTGGGTTCAGTTCCTAAAGAGTTTGGAGGCTAGAAGAAATTGTGAATGCTTTTTATTCACATCCATTTTTAAGGCTCAAGAAACTCATCTTTGTCTCGTAACTTCCTTTCCATCCTTAGGTCAGTAAAGGTGCAAATTGCATCATGATCCTCTTCTTTTTCATCTTCAAAACATAGAATCTCTCCAGTTGGAAGGGACCTCTGGAACTCATCTGGTCCAAACCCCAGCTCAAAGTAGAGCCAGCTTAGAGTAGGTTGTGCAAGGCCCTGTCCGGTTGTGTTCTGAATGGCTCCCAGGATGGAGTTTCCACATACTCCCTGGGCAACCTGTTCCTTATCATCCTCATGTGGAAAAAAAAAAAATTCCTAACATCAAATCAGTTTCCCTTGTTGTAACCCGTGTCTGTTGCTTCTCATCCCACCACTGTGCAGCCCCGAGGAAGTCTGTCTCTGTTTTCCTGTCTTCCTCAATTTTCTCTTCATATTATGCAGCAGAACAAAAGCCACTATACAATAGTGTTATTACCAGCAGTAACACTAAGTCTCCATATTAGACTTACTGAAAAATCATTTACAGTTCACAGTTCCAGCTGTAGGTGGCACTGATAAATTTGCATTATACTATGCATTCTTTTTGCTTTTTCTGTGTTCAGATTTCTTGTTTTCTGCTTAATAGTAGCCTCCAATAACGTCTAACTTCTTCACAATTCCTGCCTGGGATAGAGAATTAGAGGATGTTTGTTTGAAAATGCAGTAAAATAACATGTTGGCAAAGGATTTTGAAAGCTGTGGAAAATTCTGTTTGAAACATATTAAACCTTGTTGTTAGGTATATATATTTTACTATTTTTTTCCCTCCAACTCTAATGTGGAAAACTGAGCACGGCCCTTTCAATGGAAAACCAAAGGACATGGAGCGGTAAATGTAATATTCCAGCTAATGCACACACAGCAGTTTCTGAAAATCGCGTAACTGCTTGAGATCTATCACCTGCTGCAATGTCATTTTTGGAAACATGCACATTCCCTTTGTTTTCTGAGTTTGAGTGGTAGTCTCCTTTTTGAGATAATTAACCTCTTTTTGTCTTCCGTTTCTGCTGCACATACAGTGGAAGACTGACAGCAGTCTTTTTATTGTCAGCTCAGAACAGAAGTATTTAGTAACTGATTCGTCTTTATGTCCTCATGCAGATGTTCACATAGAATCTTGATGTAGACCTATATCTCGAGTATATGTTAGTGGTGGGGAAAGGTTGTTTTTAACTCTTAATATTGGAAAAGTAAAGCGTTAAGCACATTACTGTCACTTTTCTATGTGCTGCATCAAAAAGCATGGTTCAGAACATTTAGAACAAGCTTTTCAATGAGGCCTATTTTCTCTCAATATGATGAGTCCCATAAATGCCGGATCTGGAAACTATTACAACATTTTTAGAAGCTGAAAAGTAATCGTAATGAGATCTTGCAGATAATGAACTCTGTTCTCCCACTGACATACAGGACAATTTACAGACATATTATTATTGCCTGTGCATTCAGATAGAAAAATCCCTTGTGCATCAGCACAATAGAACCCAAATATCCACAGAGTTCTTACAATTATAGCACTAGTTTTACCCATTTATGTTTTATTATTATTATTATTATTATTCTAACAGTAGATGGCAACATTTAGTTGGAACTTGGCAAACCTCTGTGAACTCTACAGAGTCATTTCCGTTATGATATTACTCTTGAGACTTTGAGATACAGTGAAGGAACATATAGCAGCATATAATTAGAAACTGTAAATTAACTGAATTGTTTAATGATCTATATAGATTAAGACAGCAATTACCTTATTTTCTTCCAAATTCCAGCTTGCCCAGGATAGTTTTTTACTGAAAGCCAGATGTGCTCTGACTGACTGACTGGCAATCTGGAAAAATGTCAGTGTATTAAGGGTTAAGCTTTCCTTACACAAAATTATAGCTAGAGAAAAGCAGTAGGTTAATTTCTTAAAGGCTTGTCAATAAAGCTTTTCCTGAATGCACAGCTTGGATTCAGACCTGAACTACTCAACATTTAGAGATGTCTGGATCAAATTTTTCAGTTCAGGCTGGTCTATTTACAATTTCTTCAGCTTTTATCAACGTTTCCCCGATTGGCACTCAGTGGCTGTTCTCATTTAATGCTGAAGCTGATGAAAATTCTGCTGTTGACTTAATGGAAACATAAACATACTCTGTATCATTAAAGGATGCTTTGGGTCAGTCAGATTACAGTAAAACTGAAATGTCGTAACACTTTAGACCTTGGCTTGTAACAGATGTCCACATGCCTCGGGTGCATGGTCAGGCATAAGGTGTAGCAGTATGTCTCCACTCACCCAGCACGGGCAAACATCCACATCCTGGGATGTACCCTAGTTCTCGGACACACAGTGAAGGTACTTGCGTGATGTCTGGCCTTGGCAGAGGAGGGCAAGGATTTAGGAAAGGAAGTGCCAGGTGCTTGGAGCTCTCTGGAAAAGCTTCTCAAAGTAAGACCATGCATGTGTTTAATTAGAATAGGCAGCACTGACCAGACTATGGATACTGATTTTATAAGTTAGATACACTTCCAGGTAAGTCCAGGTACAATGCATTTTCTGCAAGTTTTTGTTATTTTAAAAAGAAAATACAGCCCTTCTAGTAACATAGACAGCTCTGTGTTTGTGATTCAGTGGTCTGCTAAGATAACTTTGGACCTGCCTTGAAGCCTTCAGCTTCTCATAGACAACAGAAAAAAAAGATCGGAGAATCAAGTAACTTTCACTGAATTTTTTTGTTCAAATTGCAGCAAAAGCAGAAAACAGATGAGCAGATATTTTAATGTTCATGGTTTACAAACCCTCAGACCAAGGCACAGTGCAGCAATACGGAAAGAGACTAGGACGTTACTCCTGGCTTTTAGAAGCAGAGCCTAGGCTGTGTGCTGTTGCACAGACGAGTACAGAAAGACTGTCATTTGAGAGGGTGAGTGGGAGCCGAGTGAAGAGAAGAGGCCCCTGTGTGGGGAAGAGAGAAGAAAAGAGAGAGGAAGAAGGCCCAGACTTTGGAAAGCAAGATACCTTTTAAACTGCCAGAGGTTTAACAAAAGCAATCAGGAGGTTATCCAAGGGGGGAGTGAGCTTCTTATCATAAACACACAGATGATTTCATGAGCATGCTCTGGATCTCACCACACTTCTGTGTGTATCCCATTAAGTGGTATTTGGTCTTTGACTTTTTCTCGCGGAGGAATCTCTTCGGCAGGGCTTCACTGGATGCTGCACATTCCACAGGGCATTCGTGTGGATGTGAGAGAGTTCAGTGATGTCCTGCGTATCTACAGCTACTGCACGTCTTCTGATAATGGAATGGAAGATAAATGGAGTATGAAGAAATGGAGTATTTTGGAGTTGTAGAATCTAGTAAATGCAGGGCAGCCCCTGTATTCTTCAGATACGCTGAGATTAAGTTATCTCTGAAGAGGTGTTTAATCAGAGGAAGACAGAAGCATCTAGAGAGAGAGGTAAATAGATTAGGATTAAGTATCTGAGGCTGTCCTCTGTGCTTTGATTGTGATTGCAGAACTCCTTTGAATTCATCTCCCTGCAAGGAAATCTAGTGCAGCTGCTTGAAAAACCTCTGACTGTGGAGTGAGTGAGAAGGGGAGGCTCCTAAAATTTTGACTGGCTGCTAGGGCTGGTTTTGATTCAGGAGCAAGAGAATGCCCCAGAACAAAAGACATGGAGGTTTTAAAGCTGAACAGCAAGAAGAATCAGGAGATTCAGGGTCACCTATCTAACCAGACAGGTTTCATTACACTTACAAAATGGTGTATGGTTGTAGATTTATGTTTACAAAGTAAGTCTGCAGGTGATTGAGTGATCCTGGAAGGAATTAGCCAGGAAGAACAAGCACTTATTTTCAGTAATCTCCCCCAAAAGAGCAAAGCATTTAGGCAGTAATTAAGTACTAACAGTGTGGGCTATTTGATGGAGCTGGCGGATGCAAATATAGCCAACTCAAGAGGTTAAATCAGGGTTTTGGAGCATAACTTTTCACATACCATAGCTTGAAAATAAATCGGGTAAAAGAGGGCCTCTGATTTGGTGCTGTCTTTTCTGGAATGTATAATGCAACTGGATCTAAATTTTGGGAGAGTGCCCAGTTTCAGATGTCTAAAGCTTCTGTTGAAAGCAGCAGAGACTATATGCTGCCAAAGTTTTATGTATGCAACTGCAGATTGATTGTCTAATGGCAGTAGTGGCCTTTGATCATGAGTGTCTGGAGAGAAAAGTTTCAGTAGGCGCCCCTTTTCCTCTTTCTTTCTTTTCCTTTACTTTTCTAATCTTAGTTCTACTATTTTTTCTACATTTTTCCCCTGTACTTACTACAGAGCTTTCATGGGTACCTGAGATATAAAAGTTGCTCTCCATATATATTTCTTTTCTTTAATGGCTTGCTAGTTGAAGACTGTGCAAGAGGAATTAGCTAGAGAAGGTGCAAGGGTATGCAGCTACTCTAACGCTTGTCTATTTTGGGCTTTGTGGGTGAAAGAAACAGATGAAGATAATTTCCTCTCATTCCCTGTTTCTTATTAGTAAATCATGAAGAATTCTTAGGTACAGAAAATCCAAGAGGAATTATCATATGTATGCAAGAGATAATTTTTTCCTTAGATTTTTGTCAATGTGTGAGTCAGATTCACATAAAAAATGTAATAAGCAGTTTCTGCTCTCAATTAGAGGTTTTGTTCTAATGGCAAAGTAAAATTTAAGTCCACTAGAATTAGGTGTGAAATCTTGCAGATTCCTAACTGTCTGTTACGATTCCACTTGGCAGCTAATAGGATTCTGAAAATTGCTTTTATTGGCCCCTAGTTTCCCTTTTAGGGAAACTTCTGGAATTGTGTTTCTGTGCAAAAGGACAGCAAACTGCCATGAAAATATCTGTCATCTATTTTTAGTGCTCACTTCCTTCACTTAATGAAAAGAAGGGCGACACACCAATTTTTATACCTTTTTACTGAAAAAAAAGAGCAGCCCTCTTGATACTTATATACCTAACAGATGGGATGAATTGACAAAGAAATGCCCAGAAGTACGTGCTCTGGCTTTTAGTGAATGTTCTTGTGCTGTCAGGAAAATAAACCATTTTTTAAAAAATCGTATATGTTTGCCCTACCATCAGCCTTCTCATTTTTCTCTGTAACTACAGTTATGGGGAATCATCTTAGAAGCTTCCAACTCTGCTACAAAGACAGATGTTTCAAAGATCCCCTCCTGCTCAGTATCAGCTGTTCAGCAGAGCTTTCCTCAGAAATAAAGGACCAGCTACCTCCTAAGTTTGGCTACATTTGCAGAAATGGTACAGGGATTTATTCGATAACAGTGGTACCCTTTCTGGGACTAAGGGTCAATTAGAAAGCCTCTGACAAGTCCGAATATAGCTTGCCATCTTGGTGAAATTCCTTGCTCTTAAACTTTATTTAAAGCCAGTCATATGACAAATTTAATTTTTATTGAGGATCTCACCATTCTGAGTCCCCCACGAAGGCTACATTTCTCCCTTTTGGCCATGAGGGATTTATTTATTTGATTAACAGCAGCAGCCTAGGGAAAGCAGGTAAGTGCAACAGACTGTTTGCCACGGCTACAGGAGGAGGCAGTGAATCTGGTTCAGGGTTCAAAGAAACAGCATCTTGAAGATTAAGCCATCTTTGCTAGTGTCACTTTTAAGACACTTTGCTAGTGTCTTCGGGGTTGGATGCAAAGAAGATCTGTCTGAGAGAAGGGAAATATAGAATCTCCCAAAAGGTGAGACTATTGTGTCAGTATGGTCCTCAGGCTTGCCATGTGCTTTTCTCTGAATATGCCTCGCAAATAGCCCCTGAGCATAGTAGCTTCCAAGCCTCCAATGCTGCTTTCCTTCCTTCTGATCCCCAGGTTAGCATTGTAGGAGAGGTTCTTCTCCTTCAGAATCAAATAGCTTCTTGAGAGGTGAACTGCAAAGCAAACAAATAAAAATGAAACTTCACTTTGCATATTAGAGCCTTGACTGGGGAGGGGAGCAGGAGAATGTTCTCTACAAATGAACTATCAGCTTAACAAAATCATAAAAGATTAAGTATAGAAAATAATAGCAGTCCCAAATTATGGTGACAAAACATAGTGAAACATTTTTGGAGGAAACTTGTTTCATTTTCATGAATTAGGATGACCTCTGCATGCTTCACCAAAGTTCTTATTTTACCACTCCTGAGCTCATAAAAGAGGGTATATTTCATCCCAGGGGTAATGTTAAGATACTGTGAGTTAAGCCCAGAAATATGTGCTCAACATCCCCCATTACCAGACTGGGTGGAGCCTGGTGCATAGGCTCCACCAAGACTAGAGTAACCCTTTCAAACCCTTCCTTCCCATGGTCCTCCCTGCAGTTATGCTCTGCTCTGAAAAGGTTGTCCTTGTGATGAGGTGGCAGCCTATATATAGCAATGGGGCTTACTGGAGTCTCTAGGAGAAGTCTTGATTCCCAGCTGATATTGCTTCTTAAATGCTTATCAGTCTTCAGTGGACTATGCATCATTATTCACGCGTGGGTCAAGAAGAGAAGGAAATTAACATTTAAGAAGTAGGGTACACTGTGGCCATAAGTAGCACTAGGATAAAATAGGGTAGCCTCCAGCTGTGATCAGTTATGACAAAATGTAATGCGGCTTTGATGATGGCGGGCGTGCTAAGAGCCACTTTTGCCCCACCTGCCATTTCTAAGCATTGCATATATGCTTCAGTTCCCAGACGTGCAGGACCAATTCCCAAACAGTTACTCCAACGGGAAGTGTTAGGGATGGACACATGCACATGGCAAGGAAAAAATGTCATCTCCATCTGCTCTCCCCACCACCATTAAATCTATCACAGCTCTCCTCAACCTTCTGTTCAAGACGAGATAAATCCAGGCCTTCATCCTTCCTTGTTAGGTCATGTTTTCTGTACTTTTTACTCTTGTAGATCTCTGTTATTTTTGCTCATAAAAGAGTATCAGGCTTTCAACCTAAATCTCTGCCATTCAGTAGTAACTGGTGAATTGTACTTCATTTCATAGCTACAGTAGGAGCTGATGCTCAGCGTTTCAGTGGGTTGCACAGCTCTGCTAGTCACAACCGTAAAAAGCAAAGTGGAGATCAGGAATCTCAGGCTCTGCTCCTAGCTGAGGTAATGGCATCCTGGTGTTAGTTTTTCTGTTTCATAAAACAGGATGACACTGGTCTTTTATGATTTGGTTTCATGGCTGCAGTACATAGTAAGGTTGATGACTTATAAACAGCTGACTGATGAGAGATTTGAACTGGGTAAGAAATTAAGGAAGAAAAAGTAAAAAATTCTCAGCAAACAAAAATATCTCATAATAAGATGGCATTAATGAGCACGTGGAGCAAAGCTAGACTGCAAGAAATTTACAGCTCTATGGAAACACTTTGCCTAAGTAGCTCTGCAGGCTTCAGGCCTACTGGTAAGCCATGTGCCTGCCAAGATGATGCTATATACATGTTTTTTTTCATTTTCACACAGAATCACAGAATCGTTTAGGTTGGAAGGGACCTCTGGAGATCATCTAGTCCAACCTCCCTGCTCAAGCAGGGTCACCTAGAGCATATTGCCCAGGATCACATCCAGACGGGTTTTGAATATCTCCAGCGAAGGAGGCTCCACTACCTCTCTGGGCAACCTGTGCCAGTGCTCTGTCACCCTCACAGTGAAGAAGTTTTTTCTCAGGTTTAGGTGGAACTTCCTGTGGTTCAGTTTCTGCCCGTTGCCTCCTGTCCTGTTGCTGGGCGCCAACGAGAAGAGGCTGGCCTCATCCTCTTGACACTCCCCCTTCAGGTACTTGTGCACATTTATGAGATCCCCTCTCAATCTTCTCTTCTCCAGGCTGAACAGGCCCAGCTCTTGCAGTCTTTCTTCAGAGGAGAGGTGCTCCAGCCCTCTAATCATCTTGGTAGCCCTCCGCTGGACTCTCTGCAGTAGCGCCATGTCTCTCTTGTACTGGGGAGCCCAGAACTGGACACAGGACTCCAGGGGAGGCCTCACCAGGGCTGAGTAGACAGGCAGGATCACCTCCCTCCACCTGCTGGCAACACTCTGCCTAATGCACCCCTAATGCACCCTTGGCCTTCTTGGCCACAAGGGCACACTGCTGGCTCATGTTTAACTTGTCCACCAGCACTCCCAGGTGCTTCTTTGCAGAGCTACTTTCCAGCAGGTCAACCCCCAGCCTGTACTTTGCGTACTGTATTTTACGTAATGAAGAAGAAGTATGCAATGATACCAATAAACACTTTGAAGCACTCACATGCTGGAAAATTAAGAACTGAGGTGACTTTTGTAGCCTTAATGCAGACTCTGGTCCATAAGTGTTATTGTGCTTATGGAGCACAGGAAGATGGAGAGAATGCACTCAGGAGACAGTGAGTTTGACCTAAAGCAAAATAAGGTTTTAATTATTTCCAATAACGCATCCCAACAGCTAATATTTTTTTACCTTTGTTTCCCTTGTGTAACACGAGGTTAATGCTCTCTCCAACTCACACAGGAAGTGCGTGTGCAAGTAAAATGAGCCCAAGTTTGTGATGCACTCAGACACTGCATGGAGAACCCAGGTGTAGCCCACGGAAGGCCTTGGGCAGAGGACGGGCAGCTGTTTGGGTCTCCCAAACTGGGGGGAGATGCCCCAAAAGGAGGGGGGAGATGCCAGCAACGAGAGTGGGGCCAGCAGTCACCGGCGACTCCCATGTGCCATGGGTCGGAGGCACAGAGGGGCACCTGGCCTGCCCTGACAGAGAAGCTGCTGGGAATAGCTGGTGGGGCACGGGCGGGGGGAGGAGGGCGATGTGAGGCTGAGGGGCACACCGCGCAGTGTCCCACGGCGGTGCCCCAGTGGGTGGCGATGCACCGTGCCCGGGGGCAGGGGCCACG